GTTCGATACAACCTTTTTGTAATAATTCATTTATTTCTTTGTCCAGTATTTGTTGCATGACCGGGTTTCGAGGATAGTATCTTTGCTTAATCGGTCTGTCATCCTTCATGGTGATGGAATGTGTGGTGATATTGGACAGTCCTTCAAGAGTGTCGAACTTCGCTAATTCGCGAGCTAAGAATTTGTCCACATGTTCCGATTCACTTACTGTAGAATTCAGCATTACCATCTCTCGTTTCACATTTGTAGTTTTACTAAGTTTGACTGTATTTTCCCCTATTTTGAAGATACTTGATGCCGAAACCAGGAAGTCCATCCCCAAGACCATATCATGTACCATTCCTTCTAACACTAATAGTTCAACTGCATAGTCACAGGCCCCGATTCGCAGTGATGTGTGAATTATTGTATTTATGTTCCGCGGTGAACCATCTGCCAAACGTACCACCAAATCTACTTCGTCGTGTTTGCCATATAAATGTTTTGCTATGCCCGGATGAATAAAACATTTACTGGCCCCTGTATCAACCATGGCTGCCATCTGTTGATCCTGAATGAATATTTTTATAAGAAGACGATTATTTTCAATTATGAATGGTTCTGAGACGGTGTTGGAATGTCGGTCACGCCCCTTGCTTCTGGACGGCGTGACCGCTGGAAGTTTCCCGGAACTTTTCGGCAGCAATCAATTGTTCGTACATCACGTCGGCCGCACTGCCAACAGAAGAGAATACGAGGGTTCTGACATCCTCGCGCTTGGTGTCCTTGTCGTCCACATCGAAAGCAAGCTGAAGCTAGGTTTATTGGTTCCACTGCTGCCAGTACCACCGGCTTATCTCGTCGTTCTGGTGTTGTAAAAGATTCCCTTGGTTTTCTGCTTTTTCCTTCGTCCCGAACTGCTTCGTAGTCGTTAGCGAGTAATATCAGCTCTCGTAATGTACAAAACTCGCGTCGCTTTATATGCAGCCTGTATTCTGTTAAACTATTTCGGTAGAATCGTTCAAGCTTTGCTCCATCGTCCATTTTCAAATGTTGCATCAACTTCTGCAATTCCAACACGTAAGTTTTAAATGATTCCCCAGGTTTCTGCATTCTGTTTCTTAGCTCGTCTTCTAAGCGCTCGAAGTAACGATGAGGAAGGAAAAATTCTAGAAAATCGAATTTGAACTGCTCCCAGTGGTCCCAGTCCCCTTTATTGTGACGGAACCATACCAAGGCCTGCCCTTTCAGCAATTCTGGCATCGCACGAGGTAGCATATTTTTAGCAATATCATATCCACTCGCTAACTCTTCCACACGCTCCACAAACGCCAACGGATCGCCGCTCTCATCAAATCGGACCGCCCATTTTCTAGCCTGATCGATGACTGTTGCCTGCATGGTTCTAGGTTGTGTATATGGTACGTGTAACGTATGTTGCGTGTACTGCTGCTGCTGTGTCAATTGTGGAATATTATTTTGCGTTGTCTGTTCTCGGGTTGGCAATGGTATTTCCTCCACGGCGTGATCGCATTCTACTTCACCTACGGACACTCTGCTATGTCTATCTTCAAGTTCTTTTAATCGTGTTATTATCTGCGGTTTGTGGTCAGCTTGTGCAATAAAGTTTGCCAATCGCCGGCGCAATTCATCGACGACACCTGTTGACTCTTGTTCGAATTCGTCCAAATAAGCGACTAGCTCTTCTTTGCGTAAATTTCTTACCCAGCTGCGACCCATATTAACTGATATACGATGTTTTGCGATATCTGAACCTAAAAAACTAGCTGTGTTTCGATGTATTTAGTTGAACCTTAGTCGAGGGTCCCTGCTCGGGCGCCACTTGTAATGAACCTACTTTTTCCTAGCCGGGGTAGTTCTCAGCCTAGTCCAAGGTCTTACAAGAAAATTTCTATTCGCGGGGACCCAGCGTTCAACTAATGTCGTTTCTACCGTTGAAGTAAGATGTCGTAACAAAGTAATTATTTTCGAATTCAAGTTTTTTTTTCCTTTATTAAACAATTGGTAATATATGTATAACAATCAATGTATTTTAAATAAAAAAAAACAATTTATCAAATAATATCTTTACAATTACTCATAAATAATAATAATCAAATAATATTTAACTGATTTCAATTTTATTGAACAATTTGTATTTTTAAATAAAAAACCCAATTTATCAAATACTGTCTTTACAAGTACTCGTAGTTAATAATAATCAAATAATATTTAACTGATTTCAATTTTTATTGAACAATTTGTATTTTGAATAAAAAAAACCAATTTTCCAAATAATGTCTTTGCAATTACTCGTAAATAATAATAATCAAATAATATTTAACTGATTTCAATTTTATTGAACAATTTGTATTTTAAATAAAAAAAACCCAATTTTTCAAATAATGTCTTTACAATTACTCGTAGTTAATACTAATCAAATAATATTTAACTGATTTCAATTTGTATTGAACAATTTGTATTTTAAATAAAAAAAACAATTTTTCAAATAATGTCTTTATAATTACTCGTAGTTAATAATAATCAAATAATATTAATTAATCATGTTTTAAGTTTCACGTTTATAAATGCCTTCTTTGTGTTCATTTACATACAACAAAATTTATAAAAAAAAAAACTTATAAAATGTTTTTAAATAAAAATATAAGGGAAGATTACTTTGATATTTCACTTAGAATTTTTATATAATATTTTTACATTCCTTAATTGTGGATTCAGTAATTAAATTTTTAATGTTACACTTTATAATTATTTGAGATTAAATTTGCATATTACAGAATAAAATTTTTTCCACAAATATCCTGTTTTCGGTTTAATTTCGAGTTTTATACATATTATTTGTTGACTTCTGTATTTTATATATATATATATAAGCCTTACCCTCTCTGGTACATCAGGGCAGCTTACAATGTCCAACGTTGATTATCAGGAACCGCCAATCACCTTAAACTTTGCCACGTATCGGAGACAAAGAGACACCAAAGCCGCGCCACGTCGTTTGCTTATGGTGTCAACACGTTTATAATCTTCGAACGAGCACCAGTACAAAATCTTTTAGTTAACCACTGTTAAAGCCGTCAACTATTTCTTTTATACTGGGGCTATTATCACTATTATCCCGAGCACCAAAATAAATTTTATTAGTAAAAATCAAAGTTTTATTTGACACTTTTTGCTCTTAGGCAATTTTTAATTTTTTTACAAAAAAAATAATTAACGTTGTAAATCAAAATTTAGTTTATAAATAATTTTTGAATTAATTATTTCTTTATATGGACAAAACTGAGTAATTCACACCACCGGTACGTTGCGTTTCGTTTAACATATCCACGAGCCAAGAGACCGAAAACTTCTCCGCTTGCGCCTTTTATTCTCCTTTTTTTCTAACTGCGTCGAGCGGACTTTTTTTGTTAGCCGTTGTTCGGTCAATACCCTCAACATTTCCCCTCATCAGGCATTCTGTTGTAGACTTCTGAAAGCTTTAAATTACACTCGCAGCTTTTTCCCTATTATCCGCTGCAATTTTTGGCGATCAACCGAAATGCACAAAGCAAATTAATAAATGACATTTCTCATTTTTTTCTATTTTTGTTTTGATTATGCTTTGTTTTTTTACTAAAATGTGTTTCATGCAGTTCGGGAAAATAATTTAAATTTATTTTAATTAATATAGTTCGAACTATATTAATTAAAATCAATATTCGTCAGGGTATTTCAAGGTATGTATAGCATATGTTAGATATGTTGGAGTACATAACATCAAATTTTATTTAATTATAGTTATCTTTGACGTCAGCATTTTGTGAAACGTGTAAGAATGTGAACGTGTGAAATGCGTATTGTGTGACTAAAATTTATTCAAAAAATTTAGTCGTCACAAGCTGAAGTTGGGACGAAATCCTAAATTAATGCGCATTTTTCAAAACTTATTTTTATATTTTTATGTATTAATTATATATATTATTTATAAAAAAAACAAATGTTTAAAAAAAATTACATTACATTAAACCACAAACAATGTATGTATTAATAAAATTATATTTTTTCTATTTACAAACATGAACAAAACACCAACGAAGAAAATAAATAACATTAACTCATTTCGTACCTCCGTGTGGTATAAAACACGGCTAAATTTGAAAATTATTTAAAAATATATAAAAGTAATTAATGAAATAAAATGAGAGTGATCTCTCTAATAAATATCATACTCTTCTAATTAACTTGCACTTGTGTTTTTTACTATGCATAGTAATATTAAGTCTATTTTGTTATTTAAGTGCTGGTGGAGTTAGTCTGAATTTGATTGTTTTATATAAGGCTTACATTTGTTCATGCAAAAAGTTCTGTCGTTAATTTTTTACTGTAAATAAAATTATAATGTCGTGCCTAAGATATCTAAGAAAACAGGAGCTATTGCATATTATTGACAATTGGAGTGAAGATAACTCATTAGTGCCAAGTGACACTCCGCTACCTATTGAATAATAATGTTTGCCACCTGATAATGTTGCTGGTGAATCAGACAATGAAATGATTAAGGATGATGAAATATCAACAAACATTACATGCGACTTTAAAATTTTGTTCCCTTTTTTGAAATCCGCGTGTCTAATTGTGAGATGGTATTTAAGTACTATTGAAGTTGTATACGAATTTAAATGCACAATATTATGGTGGTGTTGTAGAAATGCCTGAGTCGCAACTATTCACTTTGGAACTTGTAAAACCAAAACGTTTCGGTTATAAGCTATGAACCCTTTCTTTGGATAGTGGGTATATCTTCCAGTTTTTGCCATACTCCAGTGCAACTAACAAATACAACAAACAATTGGAAATCGGTGCATTTCTTGTAAAGGAATTATTGAGCCATTGTGAGTATCTATTGCAACATACTGTATGATTCCGTTGAACCCATACTAAATGTGCAACGCTATAGCAAAGAGGAAAAAAAAGTTGGTGTCCCGCAGCCTCAAATTATCAACAGCTACTACCGACATATGGGCGGCGTCGATTTACTTGACAATGAAGTTGTTAACTATCGTATCGGGAATAGAAGCAAAAAGGGGTGGAGGCCATTATGGGTACAGTGTTTAGATAGTGCTGTAGTAAATAGAAGCAATAAGGGGTGGTGGCCATTATGGGTACAGTGTTTAGATAGTGCTGTAGTAAACGCTTGGAAACTAAATTGCTTTGTCGCTGCTTCTACCAACACAAAACCAATACCTCAATTAGACTTCAAGAACTTCATTGCAAGAAACCTTCGTGCATCAGAGAATTCAATTTTCATTACAGAAGCTACCGCTTACGATGATTTGAAAAAGGAAAGTCACACAGTGCAGCAGAAGATGTTTATCTTCCGGGAAATTCATCACGTGTAACCGGTATGCACGCTCTCATAAAAACTCAAAATCGTCACCACTGTATTGTTCGTATACCAAAAGCTACAGTTTTTATATATGAAAAGTGCCATTTAAGTGGTCATATAGGTAATTGCTTTAAAATTTTCTATGAAAATAAACAATATTACATTGATCGTAGACAATGAGGCAAGTAAACTTATTTCTTTTTACATAATATAATACATTTATAATAATTCAAATTTATTTTTTCATTAATAAACATTTGAAAAGCATAAAATATAAAATTTTATACTTACATGTCTTTTATACAACTTACAATGGTAATTACTTCACAATAAAAGGAATTAAATTCCATATTTGCGAACAAAACACATATAAAAATGTTTGTACTATCGAAGAGAAAAAAATGTGCTATGGGTCCCAGCGTGTGGTTGACCACACGGCACTTTTCCGAAAACTACTTTTCAAAAAAAAAAATTTATTTATGCAGGGAATTTTTTAACTTAAAATAAGACCTTTCTGAAAATTTCACCATAAAATTCCAAGTTTGAACTTGCCTGGTACTTAATGGGTTAATACACTGACACTGATTTTAGGCAACAGCAGTAAAATTCTGTTATCACATTTATTAAATAACTCACTTATATTTTGTCACATTTAGTTTAAAATATAGATTTTTTCCGTTCCTTAAAAATACGATTTTTTTTAAAAAAATTTTGTAACCACGCGGAAAAAACAAAACGTAAAACGCGGCGAAAACAAAAGCATGCGAATAACGCAAAGTACACAAAAATACACAAAAAGCATGCGAATAACACAAAATACACAAAGCACAAAATTTAACACGAAAAGCACAGAAATTTGCATACGGCAAACGAAGTCTAACAAGAAACATAATTGCCAACGACAAATTTACCGCTGCGCTACACCGAAAAGCTTCGCTTGAATGAGTATATAAGAACGCGTATTTCGCATGACTGGGGACTTGGTTCTGTAAACACAGACGGTAAACAAGTTCAGCTCAGGCTTATTCAGTCTACTGGTCCATTTGATCAAATTTAGCTTACAGGCTCATTCAGTGTAACTGGTCCCTTCGATCAAATAAGGATAATTCAGTCTCATTCAGTCTACTGGTCCATCCGATCAATTTAGCTTACAGGCTCATTTAGTCTAACTGGTCCATTCGATCAAATTAGGATAATTCAGGGTCATTCAGTCTACTGGTCCATTCGATCAATTTACCTTACAGGCTCGTTGAGTCTAACTGATCCATTCGATCAAATTATGATAATTCAGGCTCGTTCAGTCTACTGGTCCATTCGATCAATTTAGCGTACAGGCGTTGAGTCTAACCGGTCCATTCGATCAAACTAGGACAACTCAGGCTCATTCAGTCTACTGGTCCATCCATTGTTACTACTAACCTAGGTTATTCAGCCAATGTACAAATTTTCCTTGACACAGAGCATCCGAAAGAAGGAAAGGAACCTAGAAGAGAACGCGGTCCTGCCAGGAGCCTCCTCAACGTCAACGTCAACAGCAGAAGCATCGCTATCGTTTCAACAAGGTTTTCATAGTTCACTATTGTATACTCAAGTGACATTAGTTCACCATGATGATATAACTACACGCGCAAATATAACATTTACTTACCATTAGCAATACATTTTCTTTGGAATTATAAATTTATTTTTATACAGCATTTTATGTACAAATGCATATTGTTTGATATATATCTATTTTTTTGTTTTGAAATAAATAAAGTAATTATTGAATTATATTATAAAACTACGCTTTCCTTTATTGAACGAATTACAATTTCCGCAGCTTTGCTACCTCAGCAAACAAAACGACTGAAAAATGGTCGTCAGAGACCATTCATTCCCAAATTACTGAGAAGAGACATATTTAACCTGGTACACTCGTTATCGCATCCTGGTGCCAGAGCCACATTATATCAATTAATGTTGAAGTATGTTTGACCGTCAATTCATAAAAATGTAAAGTCAAGTGTTCATCAATGTGAAAGCTGTCAATGAGCTAAGGATAATAAACATACCAAACCAGCTCCAATGTTCTTTCCAAAAACAGTAGATACAGTGGCAACAAGTTTCTTTGCCATTTGGTTTTCATGCTTCAGTTCACTTAAGCTAATTACAACCGATCAATGCACCCAGATTGAAGCAAATTAGTTTCGAGCTGTCGCCGACCTACTGGGAAGTGAAAGCATTCGTACGACTTTTTAGTTTATGACATCGTGTAACGATTATCTGGTAAATTTTTCGTCGAAAACGGCGTACCATTCAATCAGGAAAAGTTCTTGAACCAATTTCGTAGAGAGTTATAACAATTAAGTCCCAGCTCAGAATTGCATCTCTCAAAACAAACAGTTTTTGCTCACAAAAGTTTAAAAGACTGCACTCATATCTTCTCACATGCTGATCATATAAGAAATCCACTTGAGCCGCCATACACAGGTCCGCATAAAGTTATTAAAAAGATAAGTGAACGGATCTTTAAAATTCAAGTCAGTAGCAAACAGATAAACTTTACAAGTGAAAGGCTAAAAGCAGCGTTCCTCGCAGTAAATAATGAGCAGGCAACAGAAGCGTCATTCTTAGAGGTATTCATCTGCCCGACTTAGCCCAACCACAACGACAGCACTAGCAATAAATAAATAATCTTTGAAGTAAATAATCTCAGTGCCAGTAACACAAAAACATCATCAGCAAATTGATCGCCAAGCTATTAAAATAAATCACAACGGATTTCACCACAGCCTTCGACGCTCATTGAGAAGAGAGTGCTGTGGTGAACACATTAATCAGTGCAACGCCATCTGCCATGATGTGAAAACCAAAGTGCAAACAGCAACTAATTTAATGATCCGGCGTCCATTAGTATCTAGCGCGTTTTCTTAGAAGCAAGAAAAAAAATCACATAATTGCGTGTAAAGTAATAAATGTTCGTAAAATAATAAATGCTTACAACAGATATTTAAAAGTGTTTTAATTAATAATTAATTGGCAATACATTCATTTACCAATTAATTAGTATCATTCATTCACCAAACGGTGAATTACATAACATGTGCGCACACAAAAAACTAAACGAATTAAATAATTATTTAATACTATTTTCAGCAAGGTTTTCGCAGTCTGAATATTTTTCGAATCAAGTACATGGTGGAAAATTTTCTCAGTCTGGCGTGTAACTGCTTTCCTAATTTCAGTAAGCCATGAATATTATGTGGCTCTGAGAAGCAGCTGCAACAGATATAATAAAGAAATTTTGGGAGAAACAACAGATACCGAGGATGATTAGCAGTATAGTATGCTCGCATATCTCAATCAAAAGGCCAAAACGTCATTGAAAATATAATTTCAATTGCAAGCAATACTACAGTATAGTCCTGCAAGCTAATGTAGATGCAAACAAATTGTTATTAAATATTAGTTGCGGTGAGCTCGGATCATTGCATGACTACCGAGATTTATGAAGATCTCATTTACATTCCAGGGCAATGTCAAATTATGATGAGTTACTTCCCAATTCTGCTTTTCTAATTGGAAACTCGACCTATCTATGTACGAACTGGCTTTGAAAGTCCATGGGAATTTAGATGACAATCAAAAGAAATTTAATGAGAAACATTCGTCCACAAGGATTGTAGAAGAGAATGTCTTTTCTATTTTAAGTATAAATAAAATATATCATAACGTAATGTTAATATATAAATATAATTCAGATATGTCTTAAGTAAACTGTACCTTAACGTAAATAAATATTAAGTCTTTTCGGTGTCTCGCAAGTAGGGAAAAAAATACATGCTGACATTGGCATCACTGTTGCAATCTGTCAAATGTTTTGTTTTCACAAGCGGCAAATCTTGCATATGTGCACATAATGCATGCAAATCGCATTTTGTATAAAAATAAATAATTCATATAATTTGAAATGTAAAATTAATAAAGAATTAAAAGGAATGATAAGACTGTTGAAAATTTCCAAATAAAACACTGATATTTTACTTTCTTCTCAATTTCCAAATTTATGAAATTTCTGAATTTTATTTGAATATTTCTTTACATATGATTGCAATATTCGTTGGAATTTTCAATGAAAATTCACAATAGTTCGCTTAAGCGTTGGTAACCCTTTTTATTTACTGGTCGATGTGTTTGGATATCTATACTGGGCGAGATAGAGAAAATAGTGTTGTTGTTTTGCGCACATTTCGGCCAATATAGGCAACTTGTTTTGTTTTTTTTGTTGCGAGTGTTAGGGCCATGTTATGCAGAGTGTTTCGGGCACGGCAAATTACGCTCTTTCGGGCTATGCCGAAAATGCATGTTATGCAGAGTGTCACATCAGTATTGCCAATTTCTTATTTTTACAATGTTTTGATACTTTTTGGTTGTGCCTAAATTTACAAGGAAATTTAGATATGCTCACTTTTAATTTGCCACCAAAAATAACTAGCAAGAAAAAACTCATAGAGGCTGTAATAATGTTAATTTATTATGACATTATCTTGCAATAATTGTTAACAGTACTTACGCCTTTCTTTAAAATCGGGAAGTGTAATAATTATAGGTGTATTCGGTGGCTCGCAAGTACGGCAAAAAACAGCAAGTTGTTGGCCTATGCAGGCCTATACTGGCCGCAATGTACGCAAAACAACAACACTATTTTCTCTACCTCGGCCAGCATAGTTATGCTGGCCAACCACATCGGCCAGTAAAAAAAAAAATGTTACCAACGCAATAAGCGAACTATTGTGAACCTTCATTGAAAATTCCAACGAATAGTGCAATCAAATGTCAAAAATTGAGGAAATAAAAATTCAAACAGAATTCAAAAATTTGAAAAATTTTGAAAAGTAACGAGCACATTGAATTGAGCACATTGAATTTTTTATTATGTTAGTTATTACCAAGTAACATTTATTTTATTTCATTTAATTTGTAGTTTACATACATAAAATTAATAAAACAAACATAATTTTTGAAGTTTTTCTAAAAAGTTTTTTATAGAAATACACGCAAACTATGGACCAAAAAGGAAACGAAGTGTTTTCTAGAGTGCTACTTGACACGAAAGGAAGAGTTTTTGGAAACCAGAAAAAAAAGACTTGGATATCAACATGTACTTGAGGACATGATAGCACATGTAATTGCAGTAAGTATCACATAACTTCTGCAATCATTTGAATAAAAAAAAAATTAAATTAAATTAAAAAAAAATATTTATTTTAGGATGACTTTAATCCAGTGTGCTTAGAAAGAAAAATGCGCACACTTCTAAGTGCATTTAAAGCAGCCAAAGATAACAACAGACGGACTGGTGCATCACCATGTTTACCACCCTACATGGAGTTGATGAACGAAATATTTGGTGATAAACCAATTATTTCAAATAATCACACTGCGACGTTAGGGTTTGACAGCTATGTTGTAGATATAGAGGTGCTGAAAGAGTTGGAAATAAACATTGTGCAAACGCACGCTGAGCTATCGCCAACGCAAGAATCACCAACGGAAGAATCGCCAACGCAGGAATCTATAACGCGGGAATCGCCAATGCAATAATCATCAACGCAGGAATTGCAAATGCAGGAATTGCCACAACCTTCAACTTCATTATTTAACCGCAAAAGAAAATCTGTGCGTCAAGAATATTATGACAACAAATAGAGGAAGAGAAATTAAAATTTTTTAAAGAAACTATGAATGAACTGAAGCAAAAAATAATTAAGAAATGGGATAATGAATTGAAATTAGAGGAAAGAAAATTGAAATTGGAAGAAAATAAATTTAAGTTAATTGAAAAACTTACGCAAAATATGTAAATATATTTATATAAATTTTATAAAAAAAATATGTGTAAGTTAAAATACTTTATCAATGAAATGAAATAAGTTGATATAATATTTTTATATATATTTTAATTAAAAATATGTTATATTCATTTTATGTAATATATATTTTTAAGTTAAAAATTTCTTTAATTCATATTTAAATTTATACTATTTATTTTACTTTTATGTAAAATATTTTAAGTTCAAATAAGTTTCTAGTTGTAATAGTATAGTATTTTTATTTTCGTTCAAAAACATTATAATATTTTAATCTTAAAACTAATCTTACACATTAATTTATGCTTTTAATAAATAAATTACAAAATATTTACACATTAAAATATTATTACTTATTGAACTAAGTTAAGTTAGTTTCTATAAATGTAACAAAATTTTCTGTTTAAAAAATTACAATAAATATATTAATTAATAAACTTATATAACACCTTTTCTTAACAAATAATTAAAAAGTCTTTCCCTTCTATTATTACCATGATCTAATTCATGCTCTTCATCCGCTTGCTGTTCGTCATTGCTTTCATTATGACTATTTGATTCAGCATTCTCGAACAAATCATCCTTTATAATACAAATATTATGTAAAATACAAACGCTTACAACTATATTTGTTATTGCAGCCAAATTTGTCTGCTTCGTAAATTTTAATAATCTTCGAAAACGAGTTTTTAGTAAACCAAAAGCGTTCTCAACTACAATACGAGCAGATGAGTGTTTTTCATTAAATTTTTTTTGGCTATCGGTTAAATTCCCATAATTTTTGTAAGGTGACACAATCCAGTTTGTAGAAGGGTAATCAGAATCTCCAATAATAAATGTCGAGTTTGGAAATATTTCTTCGTATCTTGATTGTGCCATTCTATATAGCTTTGACCTTCTCAAAACTCTGTAATCATGCAAAGATCCAGGTTCTCCGCAAGTAACTTCAATAAATTTTTTATTGGCATCCACAACAGCTTGGAGAACGATACTATAACGTTGCTTGCGATTAAAGTAATCTTCTCCATGCTTTTGTGGTTTTTTAATGGGAATGTGTGTACAATCGATTGCTCCGATAATGCCTAGTATTTTGTGTTTACGTTCAAATGTATTTATTATATCTAATGCAGCGACTCCTCGTGGCCATGATACATAATCTCGGCCTATGGAAATCAAAAACGTAGCAACAGTTTTTACTGTTGACCATGCCGTGGAAACTGACACTTCAAAGAGATTTCCTAATTGTCTATAAGTTACTGTATTACCAACGTACCAAAGATATATATAGACAGACTCTTGCTTGAATCTTCAGAGGAGGCCATTGCGGCATTCATAACATTTAAAAAATCCGTGAAACAACTTGCATCCCTCGGCCGCTGCAAAACATTGCTTTCTTCTCCCAACATCGACAGTACCTACAAAAATTTACTTATCTTAGTGTTTTATTTTTAAATTTCCAATATTCTTACCATTCCTTTTAATTCCGTGTTCATTTTAATTTTATAATATTTTTTTAAACATATAACTGATTTATATGCACATATACAAGATTTGCTGTTTGTCAAAACAAAACATTTGACAGATTGCAACAGTGATGCCAATGACTCGCGTGGCCAACATAGGCCAACATGCATTTTTTGCCGTACTTGCAAGCCACCGAAGAGGCCTTATATTAGCTGCGTTTCAGCAAACATGATCCGCTCAGTGATCTGAATCATCTTTGCTGAAACGATACGGATCACGTTTGAAAATAATTGGCAACGCATGAAATATGACAGTTGGGTTTGTGTACAAAATTTTTTGATTTATGTGAATAATTTTGGCGCTAAACAAATAAGTGAGAAAATTTTAAATACAAAAAATCTAAAACTTGGAAAATAAATAAAATCTGTTGAAATGTCTGAAGTACGAAATGTAAGTTTTTATTTAGTATTTACTTAAAAACTTAAATTTAATTCTATAGTAAATAAATGGAAATTGCAGATTTTATTAGAATTATCGAGCAAAACTGATTCCTCCATTTTCTTTTTAAACACTAGTCTAAGTTTATTAAGCTCAGGGGATGAAATGAATCAGCATGGATATAGTGGAAATTTTGTGGTAACGATCAATAATTGTTCCGTTAAAGACTATTTGATTGGTATTTGCGCATAAAAAATACAATTGCTATATATTAATTATGTTTCATATTTTAATAGATTTGTTAATAAAATCCAATCAGCAAATGCCAAATAACCGTGGTGGTCACAATTGAACGAGAGCAATGAAGGAAATTTACATATTTTTGTGGTATATGGCAAATATAAATACTTTTCGCGAATTTGGTATTTGTTTTGGCATACCAAAAGCTTCTGTATGCAGAGTAATTGAAAGAAATAGTGTTTAGCTTATATCAATTGCAAAATTTCCGTTCGTGATTGACAGCACACATGTTAAAATAAATGCACCTCACCATAGCAATTAGGCTTATTTCAAAAGGAAGCATGAATATAGCTTAAACTTGCAAGCAGTTTGCAATGGTTTTTTTTACAAACGTGTATATTGGAGAGCCTGTCTCCTTATGTATTGTTCTGTTTTAATTAAATAAATGTATTCAACTTAATGTTTAAATATTCATTTCAAATTAATTGATTTTCATAAATTATCAAACGCTTTTTTAATAATAATAAAACGTAAATAATTAAAGTAATTGTTAAGGTAGAAATTAAGTAATAAATAAATTATTTCACATTGTTAAATTGTGTCATTCAATTTATATTTTAAGCAATTTAGCAATTGTGAAATAATTTATTTTGAATATTTATGTTAAGCTGAGGCAACAACTTAACTGGAGCAACGGTGAAATATGCAACGTTGCATTTTGCATTATTAACAGTGTTCCAATTAATTTGTTGCTGAGGTATAATTATTATTAATAAAATTATTGCACAAAAATTGTATAAAAGAAATTGAAACAATAAAGAAAGTAATCAATCAATAAAAACTATTCTTTGATTCTCGTCAAACCTAATTCTGCTTTATATAGAGTAAGTTTCAAGTGCTTAATCTATAACCAATAAGCAATATTCAATAAGTTAAAGTGCTTATTGACTATTATAAGGATTAAGGTATTTAAAATATACATAAATTTTTGGTGACCCCGACGTGATCGACGTAGATCAAGGACGTAAATCAAGGACGTGACCAAAGATCACGATCACATACTACTTCATTAAGGCGTCGAAGCAAGAGCACAACAGTGTGAGCTTCAAGCAGATAAAAGGCAAAAGCACAACAAGTGTGAGCTTTCAATAAAACAGCAAGAGCACAACAGTGTGAGCTGCGAACACATTACAAGCACCAAGGTACCTGATTTGCTGGAAACAAATATGGAAACTTTTGAGGGGTTAATTCTCGAACAGCAACAACTGGGTCAATTAATCCAGAAATTGATTTCGAATTTCAAAAAGGATCCAAAAGAAAGGAAATTGAATAAAGCTTACTTTGAAGAACGTAAAAGGCGTTTAACTAATATATGGTCTGAATTTGAAGAAAATGACAACCGTATCAGAGAGTTGTCAGATGTCGAAACCACTCATGAATATTTTACTAATGAGGATTATTTAAAAACTAAAGACTTAGCAGAATGTTACATTGCTCGATTCACTCAGCAACTACAGGAGTTCAGTGATGAAGCAAATCTCAGCAAGAAGTCGCAAGTATCTAAACAAACAGAAATTTCATGTCTCATTAACAAGCAAATGGGAATGAAAATATCATTAAAACGACTATTGGAGAAGGTCCAAGGAGATTTGGGATCAAACACGTTTACTGCGTTGGAAATATACAAAATAAAAATCAACAAGTTGTGGCAAGAAATTGAGGAACTCAATTTTAATATATGGGAAATCGCTAGTGACCCACTATCAATTGGTTACAATATAGACGATTATCAACAATTAGAGGAATTAATACAACAAACTTTGATATCAATTTCTGAGCTGATAATAACAAAACAACCACATGTAGTTACAACAGAGGTAACTAACAATCCAATCCAATTACCGAAGGTGTCTATACCGCGATTTGACGGAGATTATCTTAAATGGACACAATTTTATGATATGTTCTCTCAAATGGTAGACAACCAATCACTACCCAAGGTACAAAAGATGTGGTTTTTAAAAAATAATTTATCAGGAGAAGCAGAGAGGCTCATCAGACATCTGCCAACTACCAATGATAGTTACGACGTAGCATGGAAGATACTTCAGGAGAGATACAGGAATAAGAGGATATTAACAACCATGTTAATACAACGGCTGCTCGGACAACCTCAATGCTCTGGCACTGCAATGTCTCTAAAGTCACTACATGATGTCATACATGAATGTTTGTTGGCATTAAACAACTTAAATGTTCAAACAGTTCATTGGGATCCACTCCTCCTTCACTTATTAACAAAGAAGCTGGATGCAACTACACATACGTTGTATGAGCAATCATTGGCAAGGCCAAGGGAATTACAATCAATGACAGGGTTTCTAAGTTTCATTGAAACACGTTTTCAAACTCTGGAAGCAATCGGCCAAAAGAGTACTACCAATAATAACGTAAAGGTATGTAATACCGCAACAATCAACAAATCAACCAGGCAATCATGCATATATTGTAAGCAAGATTTACATCAAATATACCAATGCAAAGGGTTCTTACAAGCAAATACTTTTGAACGACTACAATTTGTTAAAAAACAAAACTTATGTCGTAACTGTTTGCGACCAGGTCATATAGCATACAACTGTAAATCAGGCAATTGTATCAAATGTAATCAAAAACACAACTCTACTACATGTAAACTCATGGGTTAATGGCACTGAAAAACATACAACAATACCAAAGTCGAACAATACTCAACGCAATGTAAGCACAGGTTTAAGCGTTGATCATCAAGCATCATTAACTATTGCAAGAAAGCACAATGAACAGCAATATGTATTCTTAGGAACAGCAACTATAAGATTATTGGCACATAACGGCCAAGAAATTCAATGTAGAGCATTATTAGACTCAGGTTCTCAAGTTAATTTAATGACCGAGAGGGTAGCTCATCGACTAGGAATAACTCCAAAAGCAACATCAATGCGTATAAATGGAGTTGGTAACACCACAAAGGGTGCTCGTCAAAGAATCAGCACTGTTTTTAAATCAATGAATAGCAATTTCAATACAAATTTAGAAGCATTTGTGTTACCACATATTATTGCTCCACAACCAACACAATGTGTCAATATCAGTTCATGGAACATTCCAAAAAATATTACATTAGCTGATCCTAACTTCAATGAGCCACAAAAAATAGACGTATTATTAGGAGCTGAATTTTATCCACATCTCTTAACGTCAGGGCAAATCCAATTGGGAGTCGACAAACCAATACTCCAGAATACTACTCTTGGATGGGTTGTAAGTGGCAAACTATCAGAAACAGTAAAAGGTGACGCAGTCTGTTGTATGTTTAGCGAAGAAGAAGATTCGCTAAATAATCTTCTCGTCTGATTTTGGGATCTTGAAGAATCAGCACAAAATTCAAAACTACTGTCTGATCAAGAAAAATTATGTGAAACTCATTTTGTGGAAAACTTGAAACGTACTAAAGAAGGCAGATTTATTGTGAAATTGCCACTTATTGACAGTGTATCAACATTAGGATCCTCTAGTGAAATTGCACAACGCAGATTTTTCTCTCTTGAACGACGGCTGTCAAAAAATGAAGCATTAAGGACATAATACGTGCAGTTTATAACTGAGTATAAAGATCTCGGTCACATGGAAGAAATTCAACCTGATGACATCATGGCCTCACATTATTTCATTCCTCATCATTGCGTGATAAAACCAGATAGCACCACGACAAAATTACGTGTTGTGTTTGATGCATCTAGTAAAACTTCATCAGGTCAATCATTGAATGACATTATGCATACTGGTCCTGTGGTACAGAGCGATCTATTCTCAATATTATTACGATTCAGAATTCCAAGATACGCTTTCACAACGGACATTGAGAAAATGTATAGGCAAATACTTATTCACCCAGAAGATCAAATGCTACAATTAATCATTTGGAGAAATAATCCACAAGAGCCGCTACGATTTTATAAACTAAAAACTATGACATATGGGACTCGATCAGCTCCATACTTAGCTACCAAATGTTTACAAACTTTAGCAAGAGAAAGTTCTGGTACTTATCCATTTGGAGCAGAGACCCTACGAAGAGATTTCTATGTCGATGATGGATTATGTGGTTCTAACAGTCTGATAGAGGCTAAGGTGATTC